ATTCTCTTTAGTTCAAAGTGGTGCCTTCTTGGGAAAGATGAGTGGAAGAAGATGAAATGATTGTGGGTTGTTTTGATTCTTACTTAAAGTAGAAAACCAAGGGAGGTCGAGAGTTATTTTCCTCCTTGCAATGGTGAAACCGTCAACATAGAGCGAAGAAGAGAGAGGCACTTTGGGTTTAAAAAATACCTATCCTAGTGAATTGACCATTTTGCCCCTTTAGTTTTCCTTCTCCAACAACCAATTTTACATAATTGCACTTTTATCCGAATTTTTTTAATATTTGCAGTTTTACCCCGAAAAGCGACTTGACTCAAAATTTGACTTTTCAATCTAATTAACTCTCTAATTACACATTAAACCCTAATTAATGTAACCAAATTTTACATAATTTCACTTTTACCCCAAATTTTCTAATATTTGCAGTTTTACCCCGAAAAGTGACTTGGCTCAAATTTTGACTTTTCAATCTAATTAACTCTCTAGTTACACATTAACCCCTAATTAATGTAATTAATTATCTGAGTTATTATAGGAACTAAACCTTTATATGCACTTGATCTCAACCCTGTTGAACCTTTTTTTATCATTGGTCATTAAATGGGTTTACTCTAACGCTCACTTAATATAGTAACCTAATAAGGTTCAATAGAGTCAAAGACAATGTCAAATCATAAGGGAAAATAAAATTTTTATTTATTAAATTAGTTCTAAAAATGCATGAAATAACCAATAACCAAAGCATGCCACGAAACATAATCTAAAATCATACAAGATCACGAAAAATATATCATGAAAAACAAAGAAAAGAGTTGTGCCTAAGTTCAATGGATAATTGTCTTCAATGACAGAAAAAATTAACTCTCTTGCAATTGGTGACACTTCCATAGCAAGAGAAAATTCTAACTCGACAAAATGAAGTGCACAAAGTGACTCGACTTTTGAATGATATAAATTCAAGAAAAATTGAAGAAAAACAACCAGAAAAAGTACCTAATTTTTTTTTTGAAATTATTCATATTTATAAAAACATGAACGATCATGATTTGAATGACACTTGTTTGAAAAATAATTCTAATATATTTGTAAAGTCATACTTTTGATGGTTGAGACTCGGTTAGAAATATTAAATAATTTACGTAGTTATTTTGTGCACATGTCATGCATTTATTGTATTGAGTATAGTACTGCTATAAAAAAACTATATTTATATTTCATACTAGAAAGAATTGAATGAATCTTTTGATAACACCGATTCCTATTTCTCAATGATATCCCACGATCCAGACAATTGGTTGAATCCCGTGAAGATGTTTCATAGAAGTTCATTGGTATCCTCTTTTTATAAAGCAACTCGACCTTAATTCTTGAATAATCAATATCGCTTCTGCTTCTATTGTAACAACAGATTCCCTTTTTACATGTAAAAGGCTTGTATCAATAATCATGATTTTACATGTAGACAATTCCTCAATATCTTGTTCATTCGCATCAAAAAAATTTCTTTATTTGGCGGTAAAAAAAATATTTTTTTGGGAGAGAGGTATTATTTCACCAATCGAGTCATAGGAATCTAACCTATTGATACTTAACATTTTTTCGCAAAGTGGTGACATAGGGTATAACTTGTACAAATCTTTCCATTTTCCAATTTGATCTGATCCATTCGTTTGTAGAGCTATTTACTCGATCGCAAAACACCTCTAACAGAAGGACAAAGAGTCAATTTTGAAAGAACTTATTTTCAACCTTGTTTAGATTTGAATCTACTGATTCAGAAGGGAAGAATTGGCATCAGTATCTCAATTTCTATTCAAACATGGGTTTGATTCACACTCCATGTTATGAGAAAGTCATAGTCTAAAAAAATACCTTGAGAAAGGGCATATATATATATATATATATAAACTTTCAATGAGATAGTGCTTCTTCAACTCTTTCAAAATGAAATCTATTCGTAACATATATATCATGGTTCCTTACTTTGACAGGGTAAAAGTATCTAACTTTCAAATTTTTAGATACTTTTTCAGACCTATTACCGATACTGATACTAAGTAGTAGCCAAAAATTTGCATCCGTTTTTTTATGATATTATGCATGGATTAGACATATCATGGGGAATTCTTCTAATTCCATTGGATAAGCGAGATTTCAAGTAAGTATTTACATAATCTTCTTATGTTCAAGGAAATTGTTCATCAAAATAATGAGTTACCATTGATATCGACATATATGAGATCGCTAAATGTCCAGGAGATCTTTTATTCAATCCTTTTCCTTCTTCTCATTGCTAGATATCTCATTCGTACACATCTTCTATTTGTTTCTTGAGTCTTTAGTGGGTTATAGACAGAGTTCGAAAAGGTCAAATATTTAATGATTCTGTCATGCATGACTGAGTTGTGAAAACTTCTGGATAGGTATTCTACATCTCAACAGAATTCTTTCTGGTTAATGAATTTTTTTCTAGCTGCTTTGGAACAATTAGGAGATTTTGTAGAAGAAATATAGAGTTCTGCTTCTAGCGGCAACATGCTATGGGGTGGTGGTCCTGCTTATGGGGTCAAATTAACATGTTCTAAGAAGAAATATTGGAATATCATCGATCTCATAAGTATCATACCAAATCCCATGAATTGAATTATTTTTTCGAGAAATACGAGACATCTAAGACATACAAGTAAAGCAATTTATTCTATGATAAGAAATACAAAATGTGAGGTGATTGGGTTGATGATAAAGTAGAATTTGGGTCTTGAGCAACGATTCGATTAATGATAAAGAAAGAGAATTCTTAGTTCAGTTCTCTAACTTAATGGCATAAAAAAGAATTGATCAAATTCTATTGAGTCTAACTCATAATGATCATTTATCAAAGAATAACTCTGGTTATCAAATGATTGAACAACTAGGAGCAATTTACTTACGATACATAGACGACATTCATAAAAATTATCTAATGAATTATGAGCTGAATACATCCTGTTTAGTAGAAAGATGGATATTTCTTGCTCATTATCAGACAAGCACTTATTTACAAAGCCCATATGGGGTTAATTATTTTCATTTCCCATCTCATGTGAAACCCTTTTCGCTTCTCCTAGGCCCCTACCACCCTTTGGGTATTTTAGTGATAGATTTTATAGGAACTGGATGATCCTATTTGGTTAAATACCTACTGAAAAACCCCCTATGTTCCTTTCATTATGATATTTTTGAATAAGTTCATGAATAACAAACCTAAGGGTTTTTTTTTTGTTTTTTATTGATGAAGGTGATGATATTGATAATAATGATGATATCGAATGTGACGTTGATATGGAGCTGGAGCTTCAAAATATGACGAATATGCTACCTTCAATTTGAATTAGCAAAAGCAATGTCTCCTTGTACAATATGGATTCCAAGCATTCATGATTTGGATATGAATGAGTCGAATTATTTATCCCTTGATCTATTAGTGAACTATCTCTCCAGGAATTGTAAAAGATGTTTTCACTAGAAATATTCTTATTATTACTTTGACTCATATTCCCCAAAAAGTAGATCCCACTCTATAGAAGGGATCCCGACCCCTAAATGTAATTTAGAAGGATTTTAATTTTATTTTCAACTTTTAAGAATAATTTCACAAGTAAATGATAAAAAATTTACGGTTGAAGTTCTATACCATTGTATCAACATTGCAGAGAACTCAAATTCTAAAAATGATTATAATAGTCTTTTAGACTTATAAATCTTTCCTAATTACTAGAGTCACACTTCCTTAATCACTAGAGTCATGGTTGAGGTTGTGAATCCACTGCACCTAGATAATGCCAAAAAAAGAAAATCTTTATGTAAATCTCAGTAGGGATCTCCTATCTCATTAAACAAAAATTCGTTTTATCAAGAAACAAAATAAAAATCTGATGAAAATATGTAAACATTAAAAATAACAAAATAATAAAAAAGTAAAAACCAAAAATTTTATGTTAATTTAGCTCTGTCCCAAGACTCAAAACCTTCTTTTTGTTTTTGATGATTAAAAAATCCTACTATTACCCAAGGCTGATAGTGAACTGTAGTTTTAGAACTACATAGATGTCGAATAATTTTATTTTATTTTTTAAAAAAGGGAATTTTTTTCGATAATTGCACATTGTAAATCTCAAATGTGTCAATGTTTCTCTCCTTTCTCCATTGACCAAATGAACTCCCGCTAACTATAAAAGCATTTACAAATCAAAATCAAAATCTATATATATATATATATATATATATATATATATATATTAACATGGATAGATCCTATAATATATATGTAGGATCTATGCATGTGCTTTGCAACATGGAAATAAATATGAGAGCCTCAAATATGTTTTCTGCTCCTAAATGTCAACATTTATTGGGCCTTTGTTAGAGGACAAGAAACCCGTGAACATAAAAATGTGGGTTTGACAAAAAAAAAAAGAAATGACCACGTTACGATTATAGAGAGAGCTTTGACTTTATTATTTAAACATAAAAATTGTGATAGAAACATTGATGAGTGTGTGAACCAATATTCCTTACAAATGAAAAACCATAAGCAAATAAGCCGCATCTTCCTTTGTACAAAAATAATAGCCAAATTATTTTCAAACAATGGGTTTTCTTAAGGAGAGGGCTAATTTTTTGTGTACTATTCTCTATTATGGAAACTCTATTTTTGGGAAAAATATTTGTCCTTTTAAAATACACAATTTTGTATCCTTTTAGTTAGTAACACTATATACTATTGGTAGTATATAGTTACAATATGAAAAAAATATTTTTTCTCTCTCCCTCTTCAGTCACTTCAACTAATATAGAGAGAGAAAAAAAACTTTTCATATTATAACTATGTACTACCCGTAATACATAGTGTTAAAAATTAAAAGGACATAATTTGTGTCTTTTAAAATGTCACACACTTAACCCTTTTGTAATTGTAGCCAAGCAAAAGAAACTTGTGTTGTCATGAAAGTGTGTATCTCTTAGAAGTGTGATATGCATCTCCTATGACGTGCAGCCACTGTTTTCTTCTTCTGCTTAGTTTCCTCTTTCCAACTCTTGGCAATGTCATAAGACACACTAATTGCATCCAAAGATGCACCAGAAAGGCCTCTTCTTGTGAACCCAACAGCATAAAGACCGCCTTTTCCTTTCCATCCATTTGGAAATGGGTTTCTTGGAATCCCATCCTTTGAAAAGAAATCATTTTCCTGATGCAGTACATAACATAGCATATTAGATTATAATATAGTCCATTGAGCCAATAATTAAGCTTTAACAAAGTAAAAGTTGCATAATAGTTATCCACATTTAAATTATTTTCCCTAAAAAAGAAACATGATTAATATATCAATATTTGCTAAGGAAACAAGTATCTATAAATAGGAAATGCATGATTGCATCTCTCATTTTAATCTGATTATAGGTGAAATTTTTTAATTATTCAGCCGAGGAATAAAATAATCATTTTTTCTTCTCTATTTTTTAAGATTTGTCATTAATATTGCAAAAGTCGATCTGTTAATAAATTACTCAGTTTTTCACATAATATGGGAGCACATTTTCACTAATAGGGACTATGCTGGAGTTAGAAGTAAACTCAACTGGTGCCAAAAGATTCAACTAAAAACTCAATCAGTGTTAAAGTTGTATCATAATTTTTTTTAAAATATTGTACAATTTTTTTAAATGAGCGGGTGCCAAGGCTCCACCTAAATAACACCACTGTAAAAACAAACAAAATAAAATAAACACAAAAATAACCATAAAAATAAGAGTATTATGAATAAGTTACTTTTTGATATATTTAATAAATGATGTACTTATATACTTAATGCTCAAACACAAAAATAACCATAAAAATAAGAGTACTATAAATAAGTTACTTTTTGATATATTTAATCAATGATATACTTAATGCTGAGCACTTCCCTGACCACAATAAATATTTTTGTAATATGGTCGTATTAAAATTAAAATGAGATGTTACACCATTAATTTCCCTACTTTAAATGACAACATATAAGTTTTTTTTTTTTTTTTTAACACACGCATGCCATGGTCATTAAACAGGGTCAGAAGGGTGTGTGGGGGCTCAGAAAGAGAACAAAACAACTGAACCCATTGTTTTCACTTAACAATATTGCACCACAGTTACATCTGGGGAGCAAAAACAAGCACAAGTGGATAGCAGAACAAAACATCTGTTATATATACGGGTTTTATAAGAGTTTTGTAGTAGAAAAAGTGATTGTGTAATGTTAAAGAGATTCGTTTTGCGTGCCGTAATTTTCTTTTTTCTTCAAAAAGTATGAGCCCCACAAAATATTGTGTGTGTAGTAAAGTTTGTTGTGCCATGTTAAATGACAAATGCAAACCCCTATATATATATTTAGATAAGATTATCAAAAGAAAAAAACAAAACATCCAGACAAAACCAACAATCTGACCCGGTTTCATTGAAGGGAGAGAGAGAGAGAGAACAACAACTACATGGTTAAACCCAACCCAATGCAACAGAAAGAAAAAAAACATAACTTTGACTAACCTTTAGCCATGATGGTACATTGCTGCGATACCCAGTAGCAAGAACAACAGAATCAATGAGAAGAACTTTGCCATCAACAAGTTCCACTTCCCCTGGAGAGAATCTTCTAATTCCAGGAACCACTTTGATTTGACCAGATCTAATTTTCTTCAATGCTCCAATGTCTAACACTGGGGTCTTCCCTGAACTGTTCTTCAGCTCTAAAGGGCCTATGGATGGCCTTTCCAGACCATACTTTTCAACATTTCCCAAAATCAAAATTGCCAGAATCAGCAATATCTTATCAACCATCCAAAGTGGTAACCTTTTCATCAACATAACTGCAAGCTCAAATGTCGATTTTCCAAAAACTTCTCTTGGCAAGACATGAACCTGATCATGAAATCAACAAAGCACACAGGTAAAATTTACGTGTTCAAGTGATAAGGAATTTGTTTCTTTTAACTAGACATCTTGAGTTCAAGTTCTAGGCCGTCCCAATATGGGTCCGACCCGAGTTTGAACTTTTATTCCCATTAATTAGAAGTCTCGAGTTCAAGCACTCAACCAATCCCAATATGGGTTGGATGAGTTTAAACCATTTTAATAGGGTAATTAACAAAGAAATAAACAAAAAAATATTACACTTAAAGTTGCAAACTTTGGATGAAAATTAACAGAATCAAAGGAGAGTTTAGTACTCACGGAGCTTCTAACCACCATTGATGGGATTGCATTGTGGTTACAGAGATCAAGGGACACTTCCATGCCTGAATTTCCACACCCAACAACAAGTACTCGCTTCCCACTATAACTCTTCCCAGATTTGTAATCACAAGCATGCATAACATGGCCACCAAATTCTTCAAGGCCTTCAAATTCAGGCACAATTTTCTCTGAATTTTCTCCAGTAGCAACCACAAGCCACCTGCAAATGTACTCAACTTCACTGACACCACTTTTCCTAATGGTTTTAACCCTCCAAAAACCAAAGGTTTCATCATACTTTGCAGATTGCACTGTTTCATTGAACTGTGGGGTTATGTTAAAGTGTTTGGCATAAGATTCAAGGTAAGTTATGAACTGAAATTTTGTGGGGTATTCAGGGAAGTCCTCTGGGAATGGAAAATTGGGTAACTGACAGAATTGTTTAGGAAGATGAAGCTTTAAACGATCATAAGTTCTATTTTGCCAAAGAGATGCAATGCAATTAGCTCTTTCAAGGATGATGAATGGAACACCTTGGCCTTTAAGACCAGAAGCAACAGCAAGACCTGAAGGACCAGCACCAACTATGACTGGTCCATTCACCCATATGCTGCTACGTGTGAAAAGGTTCTCAGGGTCCAAACTTTGAACCATTGGTGGTATATTCACAAAAATGTTATGCATTTCAGAAGGAAAATATTGACTTTTTTTGAAAGATGAATGTGTAAGAGAGAGAATGAACTGAGAAGTGGAGAGAGTGAGGGGAACTAAGGGGCATAAATAGTGAAAGGGTCTTGGCTTCATGACACCATTTGATATGCAAGAGCACTTGAAATGGGAATTTAATGAGATTTAATAGAATAGATTAAATTATTATGGTATGATTGATTATTTATATAATTTATATGAAAATTTTGATTTCATTACGATAATGCATCTTTTCATGTCACTTATAACAGTATTAGTTAAAGAAAATAAATGGTTTAACTTTCAAACATATAACATACTAAGAAAGGTTGTTCCATTTTAGTATTAAGTTCATTTTTCCATTGCTCCTTTTGATTTTCCACTAGAGTTGTTGTTAGTAGTGTTGTTATATCTCCTGATGAAAAAATCTTAATCCGATGACATTATTTAACAACGAAACTTAATAAAGATAGTTAAATTTTCACCTATATTAAAATTTTGCTAACATTTTTACTTATATATTTGTATGTAAATATTACTTTATTAAAAAATTAAATTATGGAAAATTTATATTTTGTATAGAATATTTCATGAAAGTATTAAAAAATTATTTGTTAAAATAATTTTGAATGCATTGAAAAAAATGAATAAAATTTAAAATTATAATTTTGGATGGTCCAAGGGCTAGCCTTAGCCTTTAAAGGTTTTGGCTCGTGTAGGCCTTTATAAATAGTGGACCATTTGACCCTACGGACTTTTCCGCCCTATCTCGTGTGGAGCTTTTTAGCCCTATCCCGTGTAGGGTAAAGCCTAATCAGACAGGTTGCCTCATTTTGACTGCTCTGATTATACATTCAAGGTTTATTTTGTCACTTGTGATGTCGTTTGTAATAACCCGCATCGTTAAATGTAGATTTTAGAAATTATATAATAATTAAATGAGAATTATTAAATGAGAAATCTAATTAGTTGAATTAAATCATCTTTTTGAGAAAAGGGTAAATAATAAGTGGTTGGCGGTAAAAATGCAATGGACAAAATTATCCAAAAGTTAAAGATAATTAGTGACCACAAATTTTATGGAGTTAAAATAATTACAAAATACTTATGTTAATATTAGTAGGAAATTCTAATTATTTAAAATTAAGTCACTTTTATTGTAAAAGTGAAAATACTATTATGTCGCGATAAAAGATGTTGTGAGCAAAATTACCGAAAATCTAGTGTTTAATCAATAATTATTATTCAATAACATTTTAATAGTTTAAAAGTATCTTTAATAAGAAAATTCATGAGGAGGATGGAAATAAGTGGATTAATGAGAGTTAATGATGTGACATTCTTACTTGGAGCCCAAGTTAAGTCAAATAACCTAAAGACACAACATTTAGCCTCTCATTTGTTCTTCTTTATTTATTTCTAAAACCCTAGGCAGCCCCCTTACGCTCTTCCATGGCTGCCTTGTGCTCTTCCTCATAGAACTCCATCATCTCCTCTTGAAGCAAGCCAAAAACACTCACCACTCACCACACCTCTTTTACCTACTATGGAAACAACATAGAACCTTGAGTGTTAGTGAGAAAAATCCCATCCTGAGTGCTGCCATTTCAGGTTAGAGAACTCAAAGGTGGAGTTTGACATTGCTAGAAGCTTGGAGATTTCTTGCTTGGGTGAGACATCTTAGTGAGAAAGAACCAACCTTTGGTGAGAAAGACCCTATCTTTAGAGAGAAAGATCCAACTTTGTCACTCCATTTTTGTGCACACTTCTGGATAGAGGGAGAGAGTGGTGAAAAATCCTAGAAAGCCTCCTATTTTATAAGCTTTGAAGCTCTAGGTAAACACCCAACACTTTCCTTTGAATTTTCTTGAAAATAGCATGTGTAAATGATGTAAAAATAGAGAATTTGATAACCTAAGCTTTAATGGGTAAGAATATGTTAAGAACATGTTGGAAGATTGATTACATAACAAGAAAATTGAGTTAGAAGCCATTGGACAACATTTAAACCTTAAAAATCTATTTTTTTTTTGCATTTTGTCGAAGAGGATTTGAATCCCTACTGTTATAATGACGAATTTTGATTTCTGTCAGGGAAGGATTTGAATCCTTTCGTAAGGGATTCGAATCCCTTTTGCAAAAAAAAACATAGTTTAGTAAATTGATCGTATCTCGTGCTACAGAGCTCCAAATTGAGTGAGGTTTGGACTTATGTGAAGCTAACACATAGGGCTACACCTGTAAAAGACAATAACCAGAATTATACAACTCCAATTGAGACATATAATATGTTGTTAGAAAGCTTGAGAGATCTAGTTTAACATATTAAAATATTAGAATTTTTTATAAAGAGTTGCAATACCAGTTTTAAAAATGGTAAACATAGTTTAATACCAAATTCGCCAATAGAGTCAGTTCCTTCGGATTGTTCTGTAAGGAAATAACTTGCTGACTCTATTGTGCTTGTAAGTGATGTTTTAAGGTTATGGAACCATAAGAATCCAGTATGGACCCTTGAGAAATGAGTTTAAGGTATAAATTGAATAATTACACTAATGGCTTTGGAAGAAGCATTAAGTGTCATAATTTGCAAAAGACCATGTTAGCATCAATGTAGTCGACTAGTATGCGTTCTAATTGTCTTTATACCTCTGAAATAATTTGTGATATTGCTAGAGCCTGTGATTGTGACACTTTGAGAGGCTGTGGTTGTGGCCTCTTGGATACGAAGAACATATTTGAGGATATTGCTATAACAGGTACACTTTCAGTTTTCAGGATTAATCCTATATTGTTTCACCAAACTCCATGAGAGGTTGATTTATGTGCATGATATGCTTTTGGAAAATATTTTATGCACTGATATATATCTCATGTATTTGGAAATGATTTGTGGCATAATGTGTTGATATATATATATGCGGGTGTGATAATGTTTACCTACATGAGATGGCAGTGTGTGAGTGTAGGGTATGAGGGGAATCCTTATACATTTGGTATGTTATAGACATGTGTAATGTATACTTTATTATCTGGCCAGTAGATATTGATATTGCACATATTACATGCTATATATCCAGTATTATGCATTTTATTATTCTGTTACACTTATTATACCTGTAAGTGAACTTAAGGCGGAGTGATCCTTAGAGAACCCCAGTTTACGGAGATTGTTATCTCACCCCCGGGGACCATTTTTCAGGTGTTGAGACTTACGGTATAGGTGCACCTTAAGGCAAAGGGCTAACCTTGAGATATTGGCACATTGCATTGCTTTCATTTGATATTTGTATCTTCATCCGAGATATGATTATTATTCATCATATTGTGTATGTTTATATTTGATGTGATCATAGGGGTTGTCTATGCCTTTGGAAATAAACTCATTTACTTTACTTAGATTATGTGTAAGCTTATGAGTTTGATTATTTGTTGAGACAATGGCATGTATATGATAGCTATTGCAATTAGGTGCTAAGTAATAGCATACATACATGTATGACTTGTATAACTCATTTGAGATGTGATAATGTGAGTTTAAGAAATGTACGAATAAGCATAAATGAAGTACCTAGGATTCACATGTTTAACTTAAGGGCTAGGTAATGAAAGAAATGGGTAATGGTTGAATGAAATGTATAATATAAGTAAAGAAGTGCTAAGTATGGTCAAATATGATAAGTATGAATGTTAATTGATAATATGGATATCAAGATTTGTATGTTATAAGAGGGGACATTAAGCTTAAGGACATCCCCTCATAAGATAAAGTTCAGGAAATGAATATATAATCAAGTATATAAATTCTAAATAAGACAATTGGAAGAACAAGTAATATAGAATGAAATTAACTTTACATGCAAGTAAACTTGATGTAGAATGGAAAAAGTTTAGTCACGTTCTCATGCAAGATCAATTATTAAATAATATGATTAGCTTCCGCATTTATTTGATTAATTGCCTGCGCTTAATACCATTTTGATGTTAACAAACCGGTCCGAAATATGATGTTACATTGTTGGTGTAATTAATTACATAATCAACAAAATTGATAGTGCTTGATACTCTCTTTGTAGCACCACCAACTTCATATCTAGTTTACCATTATTGGCCTACTATATGTTGTAGATTAGGAGTTTTATACATAAGAACATGTTAATATATTGTGTGATAACTTGAATGATTTGAGTACACTTCTCCAGTCTTTTTGTGGTGGGTAGTGGAGTTCCATTTAAATGATGTGAAATGGTGTATTTGTAAAGACTTCGACGCTCAATTTAGAATGAGATTAGAGTGAAGAATGTAATCATGTTAGATGGGTGCACAATGATACGAAGACCTTATTACTAGAAGAGGTAGCTTCAATGGGAAACAATATGAAAGTTTCAATTTTGGTGATTGATGAGGAAGTGGTTAATTGGGAAACAATATTATCTAGCATCTACATGACAAGCAAAGAAAGCAAGGAGAACTTTTGCATTTCATCAAAATGTTGATGCATTTTCAACTTAAATGAAGCAAGATTGTCTACAAACTACTACAAAGACAAATCATTTCCAAGCTCTTGCACTTCCATGGTGAAAAAATGATGTTCAAACAATGAAAGCACCAATGTTAGAGCTTATGCGAAAAACACTTAGTCAAATAATGGAAAACTATCAAAGAAAAGAAAGAACTTTCAAAATATTTCATTACTTCTTTATTTTCATACACCTGATGCTATTTATAGCCATCCACGTAGATACGAAAAAAAAGTAACTAACCTACAACTAGATTAACAACTAACTTCTACTAACAACCATTTAGTTACAAATTTGTTAGTCAGTTTCATCCTTTTCGTAACTTCTAAAATTATTGACTGGTAACAAAATTAGCTCTTCTTCTCACAACAGAATCAACTCTGCCTCTCCATACATATAGATCCCTACAGATCTATCTTTTAGTGGTAACATTATGATCATAAATGACTTTATGCGCATGCCAAAACATATTCATTG